CGTGCGAGTTCACGACATTAATAGTCTATATCCCACTTTACAATAGGGGGTGTATTGCAAAAACTATGTACGTCCAGCCATACGTCGATCCGTTCGTAAAAAAAAAGTTTGTTAAACCTTGTTTAATAACTACTATCCGAATGACTTTATGTTTAGTCATCAGTTCACTAGTGATAATTCGTAATGTGTGTGCGCTTTTCGGATATGCCAGAAACATACTTCCTTTTTTCCGATAATTTGAAATACGAATGGGTTATGTTACGTACGGTAACGCGTGTATTTTTTAATAAGATTCTGAACTGTCCAGTTTGTTTTTGTGTTACTCATAATGATGAGTACTTAGCAAGGAGCAGCAAATACCAGTTTTCAAGTCGTTAGGTTGACACGACCGGGAATTGAAACATTAACTTCCCTCACTTTAGACAAGCACGCTTCTTCTTATTTTTACATTGTTATTTTTTAATACTCATTCTCTGTAACCACTTAAACTTTTTCGGCACACATAGTCACCGATTTTTCTGAAAATTGGCTGTAATGTATATCCTATTAGCCTAGTCAGAAAAATAATGCCATCTGATATATATATATTGGTTGGTTACTATGGTAACAGCGGAGAAAGTTGGGAATTTTGAGAAAAATACAATATTTGGTGTAGTGTTGTGAAATTATGCGGCTACATATATTAATAAGAAACACAAAAACAATTAATTTCAGCCTTGCTTTTATCAAAAATCAAAAAAAGTTATGGAGAATCTACTTAGAAACATCTGTAATTAATTTCCAAAAAATGGTCACTGTGCAATATTCCTCAAAATACGAATTATCTCCCTTTGACGGGTTACACTAATGACTGGACCAAAACGAAAATGCTAATAACTTTTTTATTTCTTAAAAATTTTGTCAAATTTGAATTGCTATAAATTTAGTCCATTTAATACATAAATATAAGAAAAAATATAGAAAACTTTTAAATCTTCATAAAACGTGACCTGACCAACGCTGACAATGACAGGACCAAATGAAAATGCTCATTACTTTTTTTATTTCTTAAAGGATTTATGTTAAATTTGAAATATAATAAAATTTGATCATTTAATATATAACTATATGAAAAAAATAGACAAAAATATTTAAAAATTCCGAACAATTCCGAAAACGTGACCCTTCTAACGTTGACATTGACCTGACCAACAACAGCAATGACCTAACCGATGAAAATTACTGTGTTATTTTATATCATTAAAAAAAGGGGGAAAATATATGTTTTTGGGTGAAAAAAAACTTGACCTGACCAACGTTGACTGTGTCCTGATCGTTGTACTACCTAATACCTATTTATATCATATAGGATTTGCTTAAAATTTATATAAAAAAAAACCATAAAGATTGAATGGTAAAGTCTTTATCAAATAATAATAAAAACTGGGAAAAACAGTTTAGGGTACTGTGACGGGCACCAGGTTATTTAAACTTTTTATGGTATTGAGTAGTATATTGTATTTTACTGTGTTGTAAATTATGTTGTATATTACCGGTTATAATTTGACACGTTTGATCACAAATACAAAGTAACACACAAAAGGTGTGAAGTAGGCCAAAAATACATGTAAGTTGATAAATCCAATATAATTGTTTTTTAATATTTTCATAACAGTAAATAATTATTTCCACGTACAACTTAAGGCATGCCCTAGCCTTGTGTAGGATATCTAGGTAGTTTTAAATATTTTCATAAAAAAAATAAACATTTCGCGGACTACTTGAGGTATGCCCGAGCCCCTGCATGCACGATATCTTGGAAGTTTAAAATATTTTAATAAAATATAAGTAAACATATTCAACGACTTAACTTGAGGTATGCCAAATGTTCCCGAAAGTCAATACATTTATCGTTTGCTAATATTTTTGAAAAGCATTTTATATTTTCTTATTTGATAAAATTAATGGTTCAATCTAAGTGTTTCTAAAAATTTGATGCAAAGCCTATTACATATAAATAGGTATAAAGTCATTTTTCCTTGTCATGATAACGGTCAAAATATAGGACAGAAAGTCTCAAACAAAAAGTCAAGGACAAAAAGTCACATGTTTTATATGTTATAAACATTGAGTCCTGTTTCAAAGTAAAATCTATTTTTTTTTGTTAAAAGAAAGACAATATACTAATTTTGAGAAACATCTTTCTGTTAGGGGCTTTCAGCATGTTCAGTGAAAATCAAATTATATGTACATGTAATATATAATTCTCTTAAAGTTATCCTTTCACGGTAAAGAGTTAGCATAATTTATGGTCAATATTTTTTAATTTGCTGCTAAAAATCCATAAACTTAAGATAATTGTTATTTTCTCAAATTTCAATAATCCAATGCCTAATACTAATGTTAAGATAGTGCTACCACAGGCGGATCCAGGGGCCCTGAGGGCCGGTCCCCTCCTTATTTATTGGAAATATTTGGTTGATTACATATGGAATCACTGAAGCATAAATGTAGCGGGCCATCACTTTAGGCAGTCAATTGGACCCGTTATATGAAAATTGTCCGTATGGTATATTTCCCCCCACTGCTCGTTTTAAGACCCGCAGCCACCATCTGACAGATTTTCCGTCGGTCCTCGTAGGGAAACGAATATTTTTGGAAAATCTCGAAAATTCCTCCCCGGCCAGAACGGCAAACAAGAAATGTGTCGGATGGATAGCAGGGACCATCGGGTCAACGGCCGACAGTACCCGCCCTTGTTGGTTATGCCCTTTGTTTGCTAAGGAACCCTTGTGTTAATTCTTTTAGGGGCACCCAAGTTGACTTATTGAAATTTCTGTCCTTGTCCAATTGATCCCGATTACCAGTGATATTTCAAATTGTCCGCCTTCATCCCAGCCTACCCATATATCCGGACCTTTTAGAAATTGTCTATTTTTTTCACCTTCACCTCAAAAAATGATCTACATGTAGATACTCATCATCCAATAATACAATAATATTCAAAACGTATAGCTATACATGCTTTGCCATTTCAACATTGAGTTTAATAATGAATAAACAGCTCATAATATAGGTATTTTTTCCTTTATAGAAAGAAAGGTTAGATGGTCAATTATCATTTACTTAGAGGACCAACGTCTGACTCTTCTTGTTCTATTTTTTATTGTGTTGAAGTGTATCAAATTATTGCCTTTAATTAATTTTGGGTCAGTAGACTAGCACTGGACCAACAATGCTCCTTTTAAATTTATTGATTTTGTTCTCTTATGAAATATGCATGAGATATTTGACACTGGACACAAAGCAAACCATAACTAATCGATCATTTCATTTTTACAAAATCTTACCCTCCCCCCCACCCCCTCCCCCCTAACGATATTGATTATTTTCATTTGTGATAAGTATTTATTTCTGTGCCTCACACAAACAATTTTAAGCTTGGCCTTTCTTGAACTGTCAATATTCTGATTGTATCTTCTTAATATTATGTATAAATAGTTAGGAGCTAGTAGCTAAAATTCCAAACTGTCAACACCAAGTGGCACTTTGATCTTTAATCTTCACTACAGCATTTGAATACTAGTTGACAAGACTGACTTGTAAAAGCCATCATTCTTTGACACTGCATTAAATTGAAAACTTACAGAAGAGAGTTTTTGTATGAGAGATTGAGTCTATTTTCAAGCGTTTTCCAAGTTTATGCATATACATGTAATTTGTTGTTTCCATGGCAACACTATCACTAATAATGCCTGGAATATTATTAATATTTCTTAAATACAAGAAAACCTGCTTATGTAAGCAAAACTGTATACATTCATTGTTATATGTATCGAAGTTCATTAAAACGCGTTTGTAAAAATGAGTACTTATCCGTATTTTTGCAAATGAACTACTTGTTTCCATGGCAACACAGTCAATGGCAAATATTGTACAATTGAATATGTAATTTTTTACATGATTTTATTTGTTTTTTTCTAGATTGAGTAATTGTTTTTCTTGTATATTTTTCATGATCATGAAAACAGACTGAAATTTCTTTATAATCAGCACTTTTATCCAGAATAGGGAAATTGTGTTTGTTTCTTTCAGGTGGTAACACCATTATCGAAATACTATACTAGCAAAATCAGTTATATATATACATGTGTGTATACAGTGAAACTTAATAAGTGTTTTAGTTTTCCTACTTTTGTGCACATTTAAGAAACTAACTGAAACTTTTTTCAAAATTGTTTTAAACTTGTGTATCAAAATGAAATTGTTTCCATAGCAACACAGTTTAAACTATAATACCGTTATATATGAATATGTTTAAAATTTTGATGATTACAATAATTTCTACATATTGTATATTAATTTATTTTTTTCTGACTGCAGAATTAAGTTTTAAACATTTTTTTTCAAAATTTTCAAAAAATAAATTTTTCTGAAAAAATGAAAACTAAGCATTTTGTATCCATGGTAACCAAAATATTGAGACATACTTCCCCATTACTTTTTCGCATCATTGATAAGATAAGACTATGATATTTATGAATTCATGGTTGACTTCAACTCAGGTGTCCGCAAACAATTATGGTGAGCATTCAAAAATGACCTCAAAAGGGTATTTTTTACCTAATGCAAACCACATAAAAAGGGGGGTATATGTGATTATTATTAAAATGAAAATATCAGTTATTAAATTACATTAATAAAATGCATATATTTAATAAAATCATAAAACAATATTCATTCTCTTAATTATTTATTATGAAAAATTATGTTGAAAATAGCCTTTTTCAGCTTAAAATCATAGATATTCAGAAGAGGTAAAACTGGTCATTGGTTGCTATGGCAACCGATATGCTTAGCAACCAAAATTTTGCCATTTTTTGTTTGTTTCATCAAGACTAGTAAGTGTGTGAAGTTTGAAGAAAATCCATGACCATGCGTGCCACACTCCCTATATAAGAGTTTAAATTGTTACAGAGAACCAGTATTAATGTTTAAAAATAAAACTTTCGATTTCATAGGTTGACTGCTTTTGTGATCAAATCATTTTCACAAGCTGTAAGTTTTACCTATATTGACATCAACGTCATAACAAAGGCTGTGCAATGGATTATAGAGCAACAAGAAACATCCGGGGCTTTTAATGAACCAGGAATTGTTCTCCATAAGGAAATGCAGGTACAATAAAATGTGTTGGTTAAACTATTTATGGCAGTCTATATTTATTATTTACTACACTTTCACTGTCATGGTAATTGAGTAGTAATTACAACACTATAGGTATCCTTATTTACCCTTTATGCATTACTTGCACGTGTAGTTGAAATAATGTAATACCACATTAATTACTATTATATTACGCCAAAAACCTGCTATATTTAAAAGGCTGTTTTAACTATTATTTTTTTGTTTTTAAATGTATTGATAGTCATCGTGTGCCTTTTGAAAAACACATTCAATTCGCATGACAATTGCATCTAAACCGATAAGGACATTTGTGCATAACTACATGCTATTAGCTATTTGTCTTCTAGAAATAGAGTTATTGTGTTTTATACCTTCCATCCTCTTATATCCAAGCTATGAGATCAGCAGATTTGACCTGGAATGGTAAAAGTCATATTGTTAAAATGTTAAAGGTCTTTCTATGTCAAAAACAACAACACATTTATGTTGTTTTATACAGTTTAAGCTAAAATATTACTTTTACCTAAATTACACATACAGTCATTTCAGGACAATTCCTTTGATAGATGTAACCCAAATGTTAAGAATTAGTAAACTTGGCTGTGGTAATATGTCCTAACTGATACTTATCCTGCATTTCAAATAAAATACCAACTGTTCTTTATCAGTTCTATATTATTGCATGCATATTGGACATCTGGATTCATCATTCATATCTTCAACAAAACAATCAAGAAAGTCATTATCTCTCTTTGTCCTATCTGAAATGATAGTCATAAAACTTATAGAATAACTATGATATACTCCTTAGAGTCAACATGAACAACGTTTGTTCGGTCTTTACAAATTGGACCGGGTTAGGTTTTAACCCATAGTTCATTTGAATTCACTAACGACAAAGTTAATTACAATTAATCTAATAAGTACAACTCATGAAGTACTTGAATACGAACATCGTAGAAACCTATGCATAATTTTCTTAATCAATCAGGGAGAAAGACCTTTTATTTGAAATCTTGTCATCAGTCTTTGTTTTCTGCTTTTTTTTTAAATTTTTGCTGAAAGGTTACTTGTGATGTCACTGTGAAAAATATACATGTTGAAATAGACAAATCTTAGCAAAAATGACCTGTTTGCACATAGGATATAATAAAATGTGATTGATTTACAAGTTTTTGTAGTTATGACATGACAGTTTAACAATAATATACAGTTTATAATGATTACAATTTTCCTTTGTAAGGGAGGATCTGTGTCTAGTAAAAGGAGTCTGACAGCATTTGTACTCATTGCACTTCTTGAAGCCCGAGATAATAAACAAGTGTCCAAAGAGGCAAGTAATCTTAAAGATAATGTTTTGTGATTCAAGCTAATCTCCCTCCTCAAACTAGGTTTGCACTAGGTGGGTGCATCGATCGGTTGTTTTTTCATTTTTAGTTATCAAAAAAAAAAAATCTTTTTTTTAATTTTTGATACACTGCAAAAAAAATATATCCACTGTCAATTGCTGAATCGATTGTAATTCAAAATGATAAAACTGATTAATTAATCGTTTACTAGAATTTCATTTCTGTCGTTATAACCAACTATCCAAATTGTCAAACAGCAAACAAAAACAAAAAAAAGAAAAAAATCACAAAAAAAAACCAAACAGAACTTTTATAATACAAAATATGGAGATTGTATGTTTGCCAATGAGACAACTATCCACCCGAGTGCAAATGACGTACACGTAAGTAACTATAGGTTATCGTATATTTAAACCTTAGAGCAAAGAAATATAAAAGAGGGACGAAAGATACCAAAGTGACAGTCAAACTTATAGATCGAAAACAAACTGACAACGCCATGGCCAAAAATAAAAAGACAAACAGACAAATAATAGTACAGATGAAACAACATAGAAAACTAAAGACTAAGCAACACGAACCCCACCAAAAACTGGGGGTGATCTCAGGTGCTCCGGAAGGGTAAGCAGATCCTGCTCCACATATGGCACCCGTCGTGTTGCTTATGTTATTACAAATCCGGTAAATAGTCTAATTCGGTAAGTCACATTCGTGAAAAGGGAAGGGTATTGTAGTTATAACGAGTGTTTAACCTTGCTATTATCAATGAAGTCTTAGAGCAAAGAAATGTATAGAATGTTTAACCTTGCTTTTATCAATGAAGCCTTAGAGCAAATAAATGTATAGAATGTTTAACCTTGCTATTATCAATGAAGTCTTAGAGCAAAGAAATGTATAGAATGTTTAACCTTGCTATTATCAATGAAGTCTTAGAGCAAAGAAATGTATAGAATGTTTAACCTTGCTATTATCAATGAAGTCTTAGAGCAAAGAAATGTATAGAATGTTTAATCTTGCTATTATTAATGAAGTCTAAGAGCAAAGAAATGTACAGAATGTTTAACCTTGCTATTATCAATGAAGTCTTAGAGCAAAGAAATGTATAGAATGTTTAATCTTGCTATTATTAATGAAGTCTTAGAGCAAAGAAATGTATAGAATGTTTAACCTTGCTATTATCAATGAAGTCTTAGAGCAAAGAAATGTATAGAATGTTTAATCTTGCTATTATTAATGAAGTCTTAGAGCAAAGAAATGTATAGAATGTTTAACCTTGCTATTATCAATGAAGTCTTAGAGCAAAGAAATGTATAGAATTTTTAATCTTGCTATTAGCAATGAAGTCTTAGAGCAAAGAAATGTATAGAATGTTTAACCTTGCTGCTTTTATCAATGAAGTCTTAGAGCAAAGAAATGTATAGAATGTTTAACCTTGCTATTATCAAGGAAGTCTTAGAGCAAATAAATGTATAGAATATTTAATCTTGCTATTATTAATGAAGTCTTAGAGCAAAGAAATGTATAGAATGTTTAACCTTGCTATTAATAATGAAGTATGCATACTATCTATACAATTTAGATTACGAAGAATATATTACAAACAAATGATTAATATCTATCTTTCAGGTACAGGTGAATGTAACCAAAGCTATAAAGAATGCAGTAGAGTTTGTAGCAAATGGTGCACCTGCGTCAATTACTAATTTATATGAACTTGCTATATCATTCTATGCATTGTCGTTGGCAACACATCCGTTGACAGGTGCAATTTTGGCTGAACTTGAGAAAAAGGCAAAAGTCAGTGGTATTTATCGCAATTTTTAAATAATTTTTGCTGTTGCTAGAAATTAACGTTCTTCATCAAAATATAACAAATAAACAACAGTTAGGTGTTTTACTATAGAAGGATTCAAATTTATCAGAACACTAAATTTTCAACAGCCTGTGTTGATCATTACATTGCCAAACACATTTATTTGTAAGTTTCAATTCTCTTGGAATTTTTGGCTTTTATGATTTGGCTCGGCAACTTCGTATTTGATTTGGCCGTCCAACTTTTTTGACTAGAGTGTCTTTAACCAGTCTTAGTTTTAGCTGATGTACCATATTATAAGCCTGCTATCTTTGATTAGTTTTTACAACTGCTTGGTCAATGCAACTGCCGGTTGACGATTTGATTCGAGGGAATCACCAGCCTAATAGTTCGCACGTGAAATATCATTCATATGGTCAATTTCTTAAAATGACTGTTTATTGAATATTAAATTATTGAAAACTCTTCGCTTTTTCTATCTTAAGATATGAAGGCTAAGTCGTATTTGGCCTAACTATTTGTTTATACATGTATTTGGTTTTCAATTAGTGCTGTTTAATTCCGTATTGGAAATCGCCATGTCAGTGTTTTATTTCGTGCAAAGCAGAATCAGAACAAATCTGTGCAGGTTTCTATATTTTCACTTAGATTTTTAAAAAGATAAAAAGTATTTTGTGTTCAAATCAATTCTTCAAGTAATATTAGTATTTAAAGGATGAAAACAACTTTTATATGAGGGGTGAAAATACAACTAATTATATAAACTAAGAATGATGATATGATATAATATTTAAAAAAAATAATCTTTAAACGTTTAAGGCCGTGAAAAATATTGGACATTACCCGAAACTGAAGCAGACAAACTAAAACCTTGGAAATCCTGGAGACCACCGCAAACTAAAGTCAGAGCTATAGATGTCGAAATGACATCTTATATACTGTTAGGATACAATCTCAAAGACGATACAGTCAACGGCATTCGGATAATGAAATGGTTAAGTAGACAGAGAAATCCACGAGGGGGATTCATTTCTACACAGGTATTATACCCTTACTACGGAATTTACCTTATACACTAATTTTAGAAAGTATAACCTTTTTATAGAAAATGTTGATTTCTCTCAATACATTTTGTTATAATTCGGAATTGGTCATAGAATTTAATGTTACAAAAACAGACCATAATTTATTGCATACATTTTAGATTGAATGATTGGTGTTTAATGCCACTTTAAGCACTATGTTGCTATTTTGTGACAATCAGTTTTATTTGTGGTGGAGGCCGGAGTGCGCGGACAGAAGCATTGACCTTCGGTAGGAAAACAGACAATCCTAGTCATCTGCTTACCTTTCCGGAGCACATGAGATTACCTCCAGTTTTTGGCGGTGTTCCTGTTGCTCAGTCTTTAGTTTTCTATGTTGTGTTTTGTGTACTATTATTTGTCTGTTGGAATTTTTCTTTTTTAGCCATGGTATTATCAGTTTATTTTCGACTTATGAGTTTGAATGTCCCTTTGGTATCTTTTGCCTCTCTTTTAAGATTGGAGTCAAAATTAAAATAGCAAAAATACCGAACTCCAAGGAAAATCAAAACGGAAATTCCTTTATCAAATGACAAAACGAAAATCTCAACTACATCAAACGAATGAAAAACAACAGTCATATTCCAAACTTGGTACAGGCATTTCCTCATGTAATAAAAAGGGGGATTAAACCTGGTGTTATAGCTAGCTAATCCTCTCAAGCGCGCCTGCCACGTGTGGAATTCGAACTCACAACCTCAGTAGTGACAGGCTATTGTTATAGTATTTCGACTACTTACACCAGGAACCGAGGCCCCTCATTCATTATACAACTATCTCAGCTGATCAATTGAATACAGCTTACTATGAACCTTCTGTTAGGAAGGTTGATTACACATTCAAAATTAAATTACTTTTGTATTTCTCCATTTTTCAACATTTGGCTGTTGGCGATCCTGATGAATTGTTACTTTATTTGATTAAACATAACTGCAAGAAATGATGAATGTTATGTTGAATTTTTTTTTCCTCATTGCATTACCTTCTAAAAGTGCTATCATTGGAATTCTTTCTAACCGTTCTTAATTAAAAATCAACATGAGAAAAGCAACATTATGTATTCCACATGCACTTTATGTCGATCAACTAATAAGATATAAACATGATTTATTCAGGACACAGTAATAGCAATTCAAGCTCTCTCAGGGTTGGTAGAAATTTACGTACGAAATTTTCAAATGACTGTAAAAACTGTTGGTGACACATGGCCTCAAGGAAAAACGTTCAACGTGAACAACAGGAATGCTCTTGTACTACAAATAGAAGATGTAAGTTAAAAAAATTATCCATAACAAAGATGGTAGAGAAAACGATGATCCGAAAAAATTATGTCATTACTTATTTATGATCCGAAAAAGTCATTTTCTTGTTTTTATATAACTTTGGTGAAACATGTATTGCTTTTGTGCGATGAGAACTGTTTACCTTTGGTTCTTTGCCCGATTTGTTTTCTGATTGATGCAACTACATGAGATATATAGAACATCATGTCGTAGATACAAATATATCGTTAACTTAAAACATTTATGGAATATTGTATACTTCATTTTACACACACAAAAGGGTATATAAGGATCAAAATATGACAATCCTCATCCTTCGTTTCCTGTTAAATATTTACAAGCTATATAAATAAGTCAGTGTTTAATTACATTTTTTTAACAAATTAAAGAATGATCATTTGTTTCGCATTTAAAACCATAATAAAAGACCAAATATAAAAAAGGGATACCAATGTTCAGTTAGTATCTTAAGATTTATTTCTAAAAAGACAAAATAGAAAAAGGGCACAGTTGTCAGGGTGAGTATATCATGCTGTGGATTACAAATTCATATTCCTGTGAAAATTAGAAAGCGTTGAACATGATAAAATTGTTAATACATTTGATTGGAATAAGTACATCTTTGACTATGGCATAGTTAGAAGGTCACTAAGTCCTTTGGATCAATATCTAACAATTAATGATAACAACCAAAAATCTTGTGTAAGTTTCAGTTGTTTATCATTGTTTCCCTGCTCCATTAAAAGAAACAAAATTAGATAATGGCATTTCAAAAAAAGTTCTTCATCAGCATAACTTTTAAAATGTACTTTCATAAAAAACGGACCTCCATGTCTCTTAGGTATCCTCGATTTCTAGTTCATTGAAATAAGTGAGATGTTAGTACTCTCTTTAAAATAGTTGAGAGGAAAAAGAAAGAAAAATACCATTAGGTCAAGTAATAGCTAAATAACGGACAAAGATTCAAAGTAATCGCTGCAACACGGATGATAGGCCATTGCAAAAACCATTCGACCAGAAAATAAAACCTTAGCAGCAAAACCTGATGTAAAGCCAGGGTGGTCTTAGGGGTCCAATAACGTTCAGCAATTTTCGTTCAATCCCGTTGTCTTATTACCCTAAGAAACATAATTAAAGACAACCACTGACTCTTCAAGACTTAATACGATTCAGTGGTTGGCATATCATCTATCAATCGTTAATACATTGCAATTGTTGAAAAAAAACTTATGTTCATGGTTCACAATTGGCTTTAAGGGAAATTCGTATTACTCAATATGTAATAATTGTGGAAAGTCATATTTTGTTTTCTCTTATTCAATGGTGTTGTCTGTTTTCACTTGAGTTATGTATTTTGACCTCCTTTGTAGTTTCTTTGAATCTATTGATGAGTTTTGTTGTCTCTCTCACTAGTTTTTGTTTAATTACTGTCTATTGACGTTTAATTTATATTCAATTTTGTATTCCACTAATGATTATTTATCATTTCACTAAAATGTTGTTGCAAAAATATATATTCAATCGTGTGTCGTCAAAATATGAGTTATTCTTTCTGCGACAGATATATCGAAGGCAACTATTTAATTTTTTATCGGTTAAATCTTGAATATAACAGTATTTAAATATCCTCAAATTTAATTCATTACGTAAAACACACCCGCATATATATATATATATATATATATATATACATGTATATATAAATTGTATGGCTTTCCAAATACTGTTTCGATTCCTAACATCACTGAAGAGACATTAATTGTCGAAATCCGGATATGGTGTACAAAAACCTTTGAACCTTTTGTTTGCGGTATATCATCTTTTCCGCAAGTTTATTGTTTTCTGTTTAGTATTACATTTAAAATTAAGATCCATTTATTACATCGGTGATCCGTTTATTTGGCAATCGCCAATGGCAGTCAGCAGGGTTTAAGAACATTTGTTGTTCGACCTGTTAGTCAAATGCGTTTTGTTAAAATATACTTTTTCACTTTTTTGGTCTTTTGGAAAATGTTGTTTGTGCTGTATTTAGACCCCTCTAACAAGAAATTTGTTTTGCATGCACACGTATAAAAATTGCGGTTTTTATCCAACGCAATCATAGGTTTGAACGTTGTTTACAATTTAGACTTGTATATATAAAAATATATCTAATAATGTTTTTGTTGGTGTCATTAAGATTCCAAATACAGTACGAAGTGTATCGGTGAATGCTAATGGAAGAGGGCTTTGTTTGATGGAGGTAATAAAACATTTTGTTATATAAAAAAAAAACATAATATTGTTTAAATAATGTGACTTTACATTGTTTCTATTGAACTTAAAATTTATTTCATTTCTTAAATTAATATTTAGAACCATGATAATCTTCATACATCTGAGATATTTACACATTGCATGTTAAATTACAAAATGTTTGCATGAAATCAACAGGAAAGAAATGTCACTTAATTAATTTGTTTTTAATGTATAACGTATAAGCTTATACTTTTATTTTATTCGTATACCACTGAGGAATAGACATTAGATTAACACAGATATATCATATGCAGGTTGCAGTTTATTTCAATGTCAATAATGACTTACGAGAGCCAGCATTTGCTCTGACAACTTCAGTACTCAATGATTCAACTAAAGGATTCAGACTAAGAGTTTGCTTCAGGTAAATAAAAATACACTGATTCAGGTAAATAAATACAAGCCGCTTCGTGTAAATAAATACAAGCTGCTTCAGGTAAATAAATACATGCTGCTTCAGGTAAATCAATACAAGCTGCTCATGGAAAATCAATAGAAGATGTTCGAGGTAAATCAATACAACTGCGTCAGGTAAATAAATACAAATAAATACACGCTGCTCCAGGTAAATCAATAAAGCTGATTCAGGTGAATAAATAGAAGCTGCTCCAGGCAAATAACTACAAGCTGCTTCAGGTTAATAAATACAAGCTGCTACAGGTAGATAAATACAAGCTGTTTCAGGTTAATAAATACAAGCTGCTCGAGGTAAATAGATACAACCTGCTCCAGGTAATTAAATACAAGCTGCTTCAGGTAAATAAATACAAGCTGCTCCAGTTAAAACATACAAGATGCTTCAAGTAAACAAATACAAGCTGCTCCAGGTTAATAAATACAAGCTGCTTCAGAAAAAAAAAATACAAGCTCGGACTTGATTGAATTTGGTATATCTCGGTAAGTTATATAGCTCAGCTAATAGCCAATAAATACCAGGGTAAATGCAGAAACACCAAATTCATTTGTAACACATTTATGAAAGGATGAAGTTTTCATATTTGTTTGTTTTTATAGTTTCATACAAGTGAGAGGTTTAGCTAGCTATTAAACCAGGTTTAATCCAACATTTTCTACACGAGTAAATGCCTGTACCAAGTCAGGATTAAGACAGTTGTTTTCCATTCGTTTGATGGGTTTGGACTTTTAATTTTGCCATTTGATAAGGAACTTTCCGATTTGAATTTTCCTTGGAGCTTTGTATATTTGTTATTTTACTTTCTTCTAGAACTAAGTAATTTTAAAACTGTTATCCACGAACATCAATAATATATCTGAAGTTATATTTTTTCAGTTACCGTGAATTTTGTCATTATTGACGGAATGGTAAAAAATATGTTAAAATCAAGTTACAGTATATGACCGCCTGATAGTGGATTTAGTGAAATATTGCGATGTATTGTAAGATGTATGTCCCGTTAAACACAACATGCAATTTGGCGACCAGTGATATTTTGTTAGGACACCAACAAATTTGGTAGGCAGCGTATCGCTTCTAGGACCACGTTGATTAACACTTGCAAATTATGTAGATGAGGCTCAAAATCAAAGTCCTCTGTAGGACGCAGGAGAGTAAAATTTACTACTCGTCGCTTATTTGGATCATTATTCAGTAAAATGAATGAATAATCATTAGCTTCAACCTGTTTTTGAATAACTGTGAAGAAAAAAGGAAAAACGGTCTTGGTAGCATTATAGATACCGCTTGGTTGAAATAAGTTACATGTACAGCAACATTATTGTTCGACAAAGACTTCGATCTTAAATAAGAAGGAATGCAAGTGAATTACCCTAGAACCTCAAGATAGCCCCTGATTAAATTCGTATTACATAAGCTATTACAAGCAAAATCTACCAAAAAAGAAAAGAACATACTAGTTTGATATACATTAAACGAGAAAGACGATGTCTTTCTTTGTTTTAGGGAACATGTGCACATTTAGAAGCTATAAATAAAAAAACCTTAAAAAGATATATAACAATTCTCATATGTGAAACTTTTTAACCTAAACAATATTTGGTCTATAAAATCGGTGAGAGCTTTAATCAATTGACATGATAGTTACCAACTTCCAATTAATGATATAAAACTTCGTACAATATTTGCCATACATATTTATTTATCATAAATTACAGCGACCCCGTTTTCTTAACACCTTATTTGATTTAAGTAGGATATTCGAAAACAATCCTCCCCTCTTCTTGGTCTTCGACTAGGATAAAACTCTGAAAAATAAAAAAACAAAAATCGAAACGAAAATTGACAATAACTCTTTATAAAAGTTATGCATCCGAATCGCTTTTCTGAAATTATCTTCATCAGGAACGCTCAAAGCCAAATATTTGAAAGCCAAGGATGTATAAGAACCGAAGCAGGTTGAGGGCTATATAACCAATTTTTAAAAGACCTAAAAATAATAGCTAAGTCCATCAAGGGTAAACTGTGCCTGAGGGTGTTGAAACCTAATTTTTATATTAATTTTGAAGAGTCTATCAGATAAAAAATGACCTACTTATAAAATATGTTAATTTATTTCTTATAGAACTTAAACAGAAGAACAAGTGGATGGACATAAACTATACATGCAAAGCATCAACAAACGCAAAAATGAAAGACATCGTTTGTCGACATGCATTCTTAGATAATAGACAAGTGTCCATACAATAATTCGAAACGATCAAAGAGTACAAACTTAAGACATTAGAGTAGAAAAGGAAAATGGATAGGTAGATTTTCTTTTTTTAAAAAAACTTTACCACCAGAGAAAAAGGTCAAAATATAGGCAGAAAAGTAAAATGAGAAATATTTTCGGACTTGCTTACAATTATTAATATCGTTGTAGCTATTTAGCATTTACTACTATTAAATGAGATGAAATGAGAAAATTGCGCTTATTGCATTTATCTTTTAATATATATCTCAGTCTGTTAGACAGTTACATTAACTGAACCAGAGTCTTTTCGACCACCTAAACATATCAGCTGTATCGAAGAGATGATACTACCAAACACGACAAAAACAACTCAATCGAAATGTACATAAGAATCTGCTGGCATTGATTAACTTCTCTCTGAACTATTTTTTTTTATCAAAACATATACATGGATATAAAAAGCTATCTTATAATTGTGGAACCTAGACGAGCGTTTCGTCTACATAAAACTAAACAGTGACTTTCGAATCAAAACAGTTGAAAAGGCCAAAAAGTCCAAGAACATCTAAAACCGAAAATTTCAAAACGATGTGACAAATAGGAATTAGTCACTCTATATCTACAGGTAGAAAAACCTTCATATTTAGAAAAATTCAACAGAAAACAAATATCATTGCATACAATTGGCGGATTTTAAATGTCTGATGCAACCTTTCTTATTAAAGTAAGTAAATGTTTAATAAAATGTTGTCAGTTTTACATGTTGTTTATAACTAAAGGCATGAATCTCAAGTATGTTATTAAATGTATAGGTTCAATAAGATTTTGACATCCATTTATAAAGCAGTTGTACACAGGAACATACCAATTTAATGCGCCATCTCAAACATATAAGTAAACTGATGCGCAATACTTTGTATATGTTATTTATACGTTATACAATACTATTCATTATATTACAGTTGGTTAAGGGGAGGACAGAGCACAATGGGAATACTAGAAATATCTTTACCATCTGGAATGGAAGCTGACTTAGACTCAATTGATACAACAAATACTGGAGGGCAATACAAAAAAGTGGAGAAGGCTTTCCGTCAAATTAATTTATATTTTGATGCGGTAACGATTAAGTCATTATATGTTTCTTTAATTTGTCTCCAAAATTAAAGAGCTACAAAACTAAACTGTCAGTACATATAGATTTTGACAAGTCGTCTGAATACCACTCAATTGCATTCCAATTACATTTTCCAGTTTTACACATTCAGTTTCTAATGTGTCTGTTTGAAAACAAAAGCATTCGATTGTGGTTAACTTCATATACAGGCAACAAAACAAAAAGTGCATCGGACATTATTTTTTTCTGTTATTTACTTGTCTTGTTGCTTAGTATTTTGAAAGAAGATATAGAATATCCCTATCTATAAGGGGGATATTCACTATAATAACTCTCCCTTTTCTGTCTTTCCGTCTGTCACACATATTTTATTACATTTTTCTAAACGAATAAATAGTTAAGAGGTAGTTGATATATTGTACCTAGCTTCATTTTGGTAGGCTTTACCGTGTAACACAAATCATTGTCAGTGTATAGTTCACCGTATTGAATTAAACTTTTGTACTCTTCGATCATTAAGAGTCGACGATCGATAGTATCGTAAACCATTTTCAGTCGGTATTTTGATAGGCTTATTATATTGTTTGTTAAGAGAAGTCAAATGTATTTTCTATAGATTCTGTCAAAGGAAATGTGTATTGAAGTAGACATAAATAGAGTAGCCCTGGTTGCTCGACATAAACCTGTATGGGTCAAATTGAGGGAGTACTATGAACCAAGTAAGTTATATAGTACCATAGAACATAACAACACTTTGGGTAAACAAACACCAGGCGGGTTACACTTATGAGTTTGAATGTCCCTCTGGTATCTTTCGCCTCTCTTTGGGTAAACAAACTCCAGGTGGATTACACTTATGAGTTGGAATGTCCCTCTGGTATCTTTCGCCTCTCTTTGGGTAAAGAAACTCCAGGCGGGTTACACTTATGAGTCTGAATGTCCCTCTAGTATCTTTCGCCTATCTTTTACACACTAAGCAACTTCAGATTCAAACGTTTATAATGTACGCACCTCTTTAATATTCATTCTAAATTTGAAGATGTATTATCTGGCTGTATACGCAAAAGATAAGGCTAGATATATCAATATTTCCAACTTTAAGAAAAAGGCAGATTTAAAATTTGATATGACCTTTAGCGAAAGTAAATTGCGTAAACCACGAGATAAAAAGATAATTTGCCCGCTAGATCAGTTGTGAAACAATAAGTCATCGCTGTATTTTTATTATTAGGTAATGAAGTAGTTAAGTTTTACCAATCGAAAGCTCTTGCCAATGCTACCATTATAGAAGTATGTGGTCCGAACAATTGTGAAGAAGTAAAGGTTAGTAAGGTGTCATTAAGTCTTGGTTTTCGTTTATGTGTGTTCGTTGTTGTTGTCGTCCTGCAATTGAGTCTTTACTTTTAATCGTTAAATGGAAATGACAAACAAAAAAACACAAAAAACCCAAGGTTTTCTGACATAAGACTAAGAAGAAAAAAGTTTGATATTCGTAATCACATGTATTAAACAAGCTATTTATTTCTGTTTTTAAAATGAATGATTTTAAAACAAGTAGTCAATTATGTCTTGTACTAAAATATATTTAATGTATTGATATTTTAAGTAGCTTTGTTACTGAATTTTTACAATAATGGTTCATAATATTTTAAATTATAAAAAAGGGAAGTTTCTTATGATATATATCATTTTTTTCAGAGACGGTGATCCTGAAATACGAGAAAAGGGAATGGTTTCCAAACTTTCTATAGATGAATAACTATTCTTTTTCATATACAAATAGGCACTGAGTTTAACAAGATATCTTATGGCATGCATTATTTTCATACATAAAAGTTTAACTTGTACTGTACAAATCTTAAAGCAGATTAAATTGTGTTTGTTTCAATTGTTGCTACACATTGTTAAAAATTAAAATATAAAAAGTTTCTTTGTTTATATAATTGATTAAAATAAATAAAAACAAACTTTCAGTTTGATATACCGTGGCAAATGCAACTACTCCATTGATTATACACTACATGAGAAATAACAAGAGGGTGTCTCTTATTTGGTTCATTCACTCTCCCTTTGCGAAGTATTGGAGTTAACTCTTAACGAATGCAGCTGCGATTTATACATATTTAAACATCCATCCATCTACAACATCAGTATAACTGCTGGTCGAACATTGAACAAATTAATGGAAATTTTTACACAGTTAAATGATTTCAGACTGAAACGATCATTTTGACCTTAACAGGATCTGAAAATTCTAAGCAATACATAGTCAGTCATGTTCAGCTTTTCATTCAGTTTTCAGTCTTATCGACTACAGTTAATTCAGTACTGGTCACACAGTTCTCTTGCAGTCAATTTAGTACTGTCTAGTAGCATTTAAGTATGATGTTTATGTGTACAGGTAAATAGCAGCTACTGAAAAATCTGGACATAGCCTGATTAGATTTTAATTGACAGCAAGAGAAACGTCTGAACAGTTCTGAATTTACCGCAGCGGATAAGTTTGAAAATTGACTGAACAACTGAAAATCACGTAATACCTTTAAGTTATTGTTCCGTTTTTTAAGAGCTGTTCAGATCAAAATGTGTTTACTAGTGTTATATAATCTGACAGACGTTTTGGACTGTTTGAGATGCAAAAAATCAAAACTAATTAAGCCATCATACAAGATATTTTGAATATAATTCAAGGATGGCTTGTATTCAAACATTTGGTCACGCGACATCTCTGGTATGGTAACAAAAAACGATTGATAAAAAAATGTCTTTTTTTCCTCTTCATAGTACGGATACTTCTGAGATATTTGACATCGGATGAAAGAAAACAACTGCAAGCTACTTCTCTCAAGGGAAGTTTTTCACATTTATTCGACAGCCTTCAAAATTTTGTACAATCTTAGAAAACAGTATATCGATACTTTGTTTTAATGTAATCACGGTGTTGTATTTCTGTCTTTAAATTGTTATTGATGTATACTCACTTGGTGCCTTTAGTTTATAAATCTCTTTACATTTAAAATAAATGGATCATTTGAAAACAAACACCTATATATGCATTGCTTAATATTTTCCATCCCATTTCAAAACTAAAAGAAATAGAAAGAACTACAAAAAAGACAAACAGAACTCATTTGTTTTAGTAAACAATTTACAGTTTGTATCAACTACATATTTAACTATAAAGGTTTACAAAGCAATGTTTCACAGTTTCGGGTAAAAACGTTGGACGTCAGCATCCAAAAAATTCAACAAGTTATATTCGATAGAAGTTAATTAATGACCCAAATCAATACACATAAATTCAAAGCACTAGTCGACCAAACAAAACAAGATAAGTATTAGCTTTTATGGTATAATCAAACAAATACATTCAATGGAATCTGAAAAATAATCGCAGAGAAATGAAGGGCAATTTGCTTAACAATAAAAATATCGCAAAAAACTTTGAATTTGATTGAGGAACACGAATTCAATCAAAAACAAGGGATGAACTTCTTTGCTTCATAACAGTTAGCAGTTTTCAATAATACCTGCCGTGTTGCCCAATGCAAGCAAATGTCGATGATAAATCTGCTTCGACCATGTCATTAACAAGGAAATCGTGGCAAAATTAAATTCAAAGCAAGGGGAACGTATCAGAGATAATCTATGACACAGGTATTCAATAACTGTCCGTTAAATCATGATTGCGTGACATCTTGAAAATAAGTGCTTGCACTGGAATGTCATATCAACAAGGAGATGTGAGGTATTGCTGGTATGTTCCTACAGAAAAACCGAAAGTTCATAAGAGGAATCTTGAAATTATCTATTATTGCCTATACCACCATGTAAGTTTCTAGCTGTAAGTATATATATGTAGCAGACCCAAATATATTTGTGTTATATCTTGTTAAAGGACAAATTGGATTGATGAAATTAATATAATCACAAATCGTAGAATTAATTTGTGTGAGGATATCATCTATATAGCAGTTCATGTTTTTGCTGAGAATAAGTAAAATGTGATTGACAAAGATAGTCTATACTGAAAAGCAACAGCTATGAATAGAAGGAGAGATGGAGTTATGTAAATAGGTCAATAAGCCATTACTAGAAAAAAACATTAAAAAAAGAAGTGAAGAGGTCAGCATAGTGTTCAACTGGTGTCTGTACTTTATGCCACGCAATAATAGATAACAAAAAAATATCAATAAACATGAAGACGTTATTCTGTTTAAAACATAGTTTGACTATAGAATACACAAGGTAAGAAAAGATGGGGTGGGCAATCTGGTTTTGATTGGATGCCAATAATTTGGACAAAAGATTTACTCTGATTAATGTTCATTGGACAAAGGTTAATACTCCCTGCTTGCTTCTATGACAAATTCACAGAAACATTAAATTTCTTTGGAAATCAGTATTTTTTAATAAAACAGAGGCGAAAAATCCAAAGTGAATTCAAACTCATAAGTCGAAATCAAACTGACAATGCCATAGAATCAACAAAAAACGATGAAAAGACGAACAACAGGACACAAAACACAACATAGAAAACTAAAGACTGAGGAATACAAAAAATTAAGTGATATCATGTGCTCCGGAAGGATAAGCAGATCCGGCTGCACTTGTGGCACCCGTCGTGCTGCTCATTTAAGTACAAACCCGGTGATTAGTCTACTTCGGTAGGTCACATTCGATGAAAAGAAGACAGGATTTGGTTATAACAATTGGAACATATTCATCATCACCTGTGAAACAGATACTTTAGTCTTTTGTTTATCTATGTTGTGTTTTGTGTACTGTTGTTTGTCTTTTGATTTTTTTTTTTGCCATGGCGTTGTCAGTTTATTTTCAACTTATGAGTTTGAATGTCCCTTTGATATATTTTGCCTCTCTTCTATATAAATATAAACAATCCAAAATCTAGAGAGAAAAGTTTAGAAATGAAAGAATATAAGAATGTTCTCGACCCATTTAGAGAAAGATACCGTGACCTTCGACGATTCACGTAGAGAAGAAGAACTCCTTTCAACAATCTAGATTAGATTTGTTTTGATTTCTGAAAGCCTTATAGACGACATTTGTAAAGTTAGCATTGGTGATCATGTTTACTCTTCAAACTAACGAATTTATAAAAAGCAGAAGCTGCTGGAAGTTTAGTACCTTTCTCCTTCTAGATACTGAATATGTAAAAATAATAAAACAAATAAATAGTACTACAGTTGGGAAATATGCACTGCTAGTATATAGCTGATGCTTTACATGTTATGAATAATTTGGAAATCCAACTTGTCATATTTTCTATTTTTCTTTGGTACTTTAATTTAGATCTTACTTTAAAAGAGCAGATACTTCATATTGGCAGAATGCATTTTGATAACAAGGCTTCATCAGGGGGGTACCCACACACAACCAAAATTATTAAGTACAACACAAGATATGAATCTTGGTGTACAGTATGCAAAACATGTAAGTTATATAAATCAATTGGGACAGATAGCAACAGATATAAGTGTGTAATATATGTGGATAATATTTTATTGTCAAAATATTTGTATGCATATCTATGGCATCCATAGTAGTAGGTTCTGTAAACTGTAGGGGATTAGCAAATAAGGTAAAAGGATTAGATATTTTGTCAATTTGTAAGAAACGTTATGATATTGCAGTGTTGGTTGATACTCACTGTTGTTTAGAAAATAAAAATAAATGGCTTCAAGAATGGGGATATACAGGTAAATTTAGTAGTTACTCAAACAGAAGCAGAGGAGTAGCAGTCTTGTTTAAGAATTCCTTTGAATTTAAAATAAATAATGAAATGGTAGATAATAATGGTAATTTCATTATTTTAGATATTACTGTTCAAGATTATAGGTTAACACTTGTAGCATTGTATGGCCCAAATGAGGACTGTCCTGATTTTTTTCATTCATTGGAAAGCAAAATTTGTCTTTTTGAAAATTCTTCAGTTATAGTTGTTGGAGACTGGAATGTAGTAAAAAATTATAGTCTTGATACTCTAAACTATCAGACTGAGAATAATCCCAGAGCTCAAGTTAAGATTCATGAAATGATGAATAATTTAGACTTACTAGATATTTGGAGGACACAAAATCCTACAGTTAAAAGATATTCTTGGAGGGGCCCTAACAAAAAACAAGGTCGTCTTGATTATTTTTGTATTTCTTCCGACTTAGAGCCGTTTGTTGTGATATCAGATATTGGGATTAGCTATAGATCTGACCACTCACCAGTGAGGATTGAGCTCAAATTTATTAATCAGATCAGGGGAAAAGGGACTTGGAAATTTAACAATAGTTTATTGAAGGATATTGATTTTATTAAAAAAGTCAAGCATGATATTACAGAGGTTATATCTGAAAATGAATGCAATCCAAATGAAGATCTTGAAAACCTTGATAAGGCATACAAAATTGATAACCAACTAGAAAATGAAAATAAGGACACAGCCATTTCTTGCTCTTCATTTAAGAAAAAAGAAAAAGACAAGATGGAGAATATGCTTTTTGAAAAAATAGAAAAATTAAACAACCTATTTGTTTTAAATAATTCAGATGAAATTAGACTTGATATTGAAAAGGCTGAAACAGAACTTAAAATTTTAAGAGAAGAAAAAATTAATGGAATTATAATAAGAGCAAAGGTAAAATGGCAAGTTGAAGGGGAGAAAAATACACGTTTCTTTTGTAATCTTGAAAAAAAAAACATTATACAGAAAAAAATTATATCACAATTACATTTGGAAAGTAATCAAGTTATTCAAGATCCAAACGCTATACTTAGAGAACAAAAATTATTTTATGAAACTTTGTACAGAAGTTCTAACCCAAGGGATGAGGAGAATGCCACATTCATGAATGAAAATAATCCCTTCTTAAATAAACCTGGCAGAGAAGAGATTAATT